CATCAATTATATATTTATGTGTCATATGAATATATATTAAGTTATAAATTAAAATTTAATATATATATATATATATATATATATATATATATGTGTGTGTGTGTTTAATTAATATATTTATTAGTACAAAGCAAAAATGAAAAGGAGTATATGTAAAAAAATTAAAATCATTTTATGAGAAATTAGATATTTCCTCCCATCCTTATTAGTGATCCAAAATTTCAAACTTTTTGGTTCTTTTTATAAGATCCAAGAAATTATCTCTCAAACATTATTTTTTATTTTACAAAAATATCTTTAATAAATGCATTTTTAATTCAATAAATAATTAAAATTCATTTAATGTATGTCTAATAAATATAAAAAGTCTCCTATTTTAGTTCTTAGAATACAAAAACTTTGAAAAATATATAATTTGTGTCTCATTAATTTAGGGGTAATTTTAGAAAGAAATAAAAAATTTAAGACATATTTATTGATCTTAAAAATTTAATTTTTTTAATCTTGGTGAATTAGTTATTTATCTCTTATAATGAAGACCAAATCTAACCATTTATCATGTTTCTTCATTTGTGTATAACAATTAACAACTTTACATGACTATTACAAATAAACTAATGTAGTATATCATTAATCTTATGGTAATTTTGGAAAGAACATATGTAAATTTAAAATAAATTTAAATTAACTTCTCCATTTGTTTCAAATATTAAAAAAAATCACATTAACTAATAAAGATAGTTAACATCATTTAATTTTACAATAATCTCATCAAAAAAATAATTTATTCTTCTAAACTACTCTTGAAACTTGATATTAAAAATATAAAAAAAATATTAAAAATACAATCTCAATTAAATGAAAGTATATTTTAGAGATGATTGATTTTATTTTATTTTTATATTTGAAACTAACAGACATGATTTTCACTTTGTGCTTATAATTGAAACTAGATTAAATATTTTCCTTAATTATGGTTAATCACAAGCCACATATATGATAAACTTATTGATTATTATAAGAATTACGCAATCATCAATGATCTTTTATTGGTTATCAGTATCAAAGTCTTTACACTAACAATACATATTCATTAAACTCTTAATAATATTAACGTTAAAATTAAAATGATAATTTAACCATATTATCAATTATTCTTAAAGCTTTTAAAAAAGAATATTATATTCTTGTATTATCATACAATATTTTAAATCGAGAATTAGTTTTAAGATGAAATAATTAACAACCAAAATCCAACATATTTTAATATTTAAGGATTAAATTTATTTTAACCAATTGATCTAATTTCTAAACTTTTGTTTTATTACTATTTTTGCTTTCATGGGTCTGACAGATCATTACACTTGTTATTAAACAATTTATTATATAATGAAAACTAAATAACATACACCATAATTAAAGTTTATAATACAACCAGTAAACTAATATCAAGTATATTCATGCTATATACAAAATATTGTACCACGTCTATAATAAATCTAAGTGCCAGTTGACATTTATACAAGATCTGACTACATTAGAGTAGTCATTTTCAAAACCTAGCCACTCCTGGTGTGATTATCCTTAATCTGCACAAGTCATTCTATTAGTCATGTTTTATTCTCATACCAAGTATGATCACTGTAGTTCTTGCCACGAGAAAAATATAGGATAAGCTTGTAAAAAGAATTTAACATGAACTACTTATAAACAATGTCATCATAACAAACTGTATCAACTCACAACAGAACAACATCATTAGCACAACAGTTTAAACAACTCATAGTACATTCAACACATCAACAAATATATCACATCTAATGTGTCGTCACGTATATCAACTCATAGCACATTCACCTCTTTAGGGATGTTGGAGTTCAAGTATGAAATGAAGTCTCACATTAGTTTGAGTTAGACATGTTGAATAGTATATGTTCTTACTGGAGATCGGTCGTAGGGACGATCTGCTGAGTAAGATCGGTGAGCTTCCTTCGCTGGGTACGATTGTTGTTCTAAGGCGGGGGTGGTACCTACAAAAGAGACTCCGATGCTAAAGTTAGTGTTTGTGGATGTATATGTCTCGTATAAGTAATGCACGTACCTTAATGTGAATTAGGATTTTGCTGGGCTTTAGGCCCGAGGTCAGTTGTGACTTGTTTAGATAGCGGTCATTGTCTTGACCGACGTCGCCTAGCGCGTGTCCGAGGTTGACTTGCGCTGTGATGCCGAGCTTGAGCTCGGTATCGCGATACGGATAGTACAGTATATAAGTGATAAAGACCCACCTACCTAATACCTTAAAATCTTAGGTTATGTTGTGATGTCAAGCTCACTTGTGTGTCTTGCTCACTATTCATTGTGTGGAGTGCTTCCCAATGTTAAAACTCCCCCAACAAGCAATTAACAATTCTTTCACTACACCAAAATTAGGTTTTTGTGACAATTAATTTATTCTTTAGCGACCATATAAATGGTCATTATTTTTTCAATTGTCTCCTTTCCATCCATTTAGTGACTTTTGTAAGATGAAGGTTGTCTTCTATTTATATATTTTTTAATTTATTTTTTTAATTGTCTTATCTCTTAAGAGATGTGAGATTTATAAGGTGAAAGTTGCTCTCTAATTGTTTTATAGTACTATTGAACTTGGTAATAGTGGGTGATTTGATACTAATTTATTATAGTGAATTAAGAGTCTAACTCAACCCTATAAATTAACTTATAAGGTGATAGTTATTACTCACTTATATATTATTTAATTATCTTATCTCTAATCGATGTGGGACTAATTTTTTTAAATAAATAATTGTCGCTAATAGTAAACTTTAGTGTAATATAAATACACTTTTAGTGGCTATTATATATTAGCCATTAATATTTTTATTATATAATTAAATAGCGGCAATTAAATTATTGTTATTAAACAATTGTCGTTAAAAACAATTTTTGTTGTAGTTTTTGTTTGGAATTATTCTCAACATTGTGGAGAAGGAATAATTTTTATTTTTCAAGGTAATCATTGGATAGTACATGATGTTATTCGTAAAGCTCTTAATTTTGTTGTGTCTTGTGCTTCTTCTGTTGTTTTGTATGAACCTCTAAGAAGCACGAACCAAGCTAGTGTCTTGCGGAATAGAACAGGTGAATTTATATGTGGTTTAACTATACAAATCTAGGTCGTAATTCAATTCTTGAAACTGAATTGAAAGCAACTTTGTTGGGCTCAAATCGGCTTGGTTAAGAGATTTTAGAAACATATGAGTTGATTCTGATTCCAAATTGGCAGTGAAATTGTTGTCAAATGGTTGTTGTTTGCAACACCCTTTCTACAACATTATTACATTAATCCATGAAGTGCATTCCAACTTGGGCCAACTGACTTGCAACCATATTTATAAAGAAGCTGATCAAACTATTTTGATTGAAGAAGAATTTCATCTATATGAACATGTTCTTGATTTTATTGTGAATGTTGTAAGAGTTGATACGACTCGAGTTTTTTCCTTGAGGTTTTTAAATTTTGTCTTATTTTGTAATAAAAAATTGTAAACTTTCATCTCTAAGTCCATTAGGAAAGAGGTGACAAAGAAAGAGTCCAAAAAATTGATCATTCTCGACCTTATTCATTATCAAGTCATTTATATATTTTTATTTTGTTAATGAGTCATATATTTCATGAAGTTTGAATTTTAATAATTAATATTTTTTTAGATATAGATAAAAATATTTCAAAAGATAATCGAACCTAAATCTTCAATTTCTATTATCTTAGTACCTTCCTTTCTAATTATTAGACTAACTCTAACAATCATTAAGGTTTATTATTAAACAACTTAAGTTATTTTTTTTATTAAGTATTTTTTATGAAAAATTCTAGCAACACGTACTTTATTGCATTGTTTTGAACATACTTCCTTTTATTAAAAACAAAATTGATAAAAAAAATTATTAAAAATAACATATTTTAGTGTATCATACTCTATTATAGTATATTGATAAAGAGTATGTTCACCTTAAAAAAAAAAAAAAAAAAAAAGAGGGCCCAAAACAAAT